TAAGTATATTACAAGATGCTATAGATCTACATTTCATACATCACAATCTTTAGTAGTGAAAAGATTCTCTTTTCCTATTCTAATTCGTGTGTGTTCCAAGGTATTACTCAGCTCGTCACATGACTCACATTCTTCAACAGGTTAGTCTCTTCCTGTAGAGTGATGATGTACTGTCCATTTTCATTTCCTCCATTTCACGGTTGTATTTAGCAATCTCTAATTGAACTATTCAGCAAATCTAAAGGCAAGAAAGGTATGGAATCTTCTTAGTAGTGGCAAGAAAAAGAAGGGCATGAATCTAGGCCGCTTGACCTCAATTTGAACCTGCAAAGAACTAATGACCTCATAATGTAAAAAAATCAGAAACAAGTAAACAAATATCACCAAGCATCTCACTCCCCCTTGGCTGCAGAACCACTAAAAAAAGATCCAAACTTCACTATCTGTCATATCATTTGAGTAATCCAAATGTGATTAAAAAGTACTTAATATACCACATACTTGATCGATAGACTACAACATAATCATCAACCTCAAGACTTAACTCACCTGATAGCTTTTCCCTGAGATTACCAAATAGAGAAGAAAAAACATATAACCATTAGAACTTGGGTGACTTAAAATAAGGTATAAGTGGACCATATATCACCTTATTTTATCTTGCAAACTGCGCATGATTTCTGCTCCAACAAGAGTAGAAAATTGACTAATCAACTGAGCACAGTAGTATACAATGACATTCCTTATTGAATCAGTCATTTGAATTTCAAGATACAACTCAGACTCATCTCAAATCCACCTAAATAATAGGAAAATGGCAACCAGTTAGAAATAGTTAATCAGAGAACTTTAAAACTACTCAGTTTTCACTGCCATAATATAGATAAATAATTTAGAAAAGTATACGCTTCTCTAGACACCGAAGTAGGCAGCATCTAACTCCCAGGGAAGGTTAGTGGCTGCCAAAACAAAAACCGATTAATCACTTTGTGACAAGTCATCCATCTGCAATCTAATCACACCATTAATTCAATCTATACTTGTTTTCATTTAAAATGTCAAATATGATAAAACATACAATCTACCATTTTTCCTCATCAATAGAAAAGAGTGTTCCCATTTCAGAGGTTGACCCAAGTTAAATATAAATTAATTATCCACCTCTTACTTTGAATTTCTTTTTCACTTTATTTTGATTTTAATATCCACAAGAGAAATCATCCCATTTTTAATCTACAAGGCTACAACTATTAGGTCAAACGTAACTCATTCTTTGTCCCCAGCTTTTACTTTTAATCATACCAATATACACATAACTACAAATTTATCATCTAAGAAAGAGAAGCAACATAATTCACACAGGCTCAAGCAAAAAATCTTAATAGCAATTGAATAATGAGATGGGTAAAAAAATCACAACTTAAAAGAACCGTGGGAGTGGTGTCAATTATGTTTGAGAGGACATGGCTGTGCAAGTTGATTGTTGTTCTTGAATATATAATGTTGTTCTAAGAGTATGCTCCACAAATCACATGTATTACCACCCTTTCCCTTTTAAATCTTATTTTTTTAAAAAGGGCAGATATCTAGAAAGGTATGCAATCACAAATAATTTAGTCTGAGATCTAGCAATTCACAAAGCACTAAAAACAACTATAACTCACTGTTTTTCAAGGTTCACTGAACAAACTTCCAAAGAGTCATAAACCAAAAGAAGACCAGCAATGGTTCATTTTGTTTCATCTGCCCTCAGACTTAAGCAGTTGTGAGAAAAGTCTGCTCATGGAAATGCCTGAAATAGCATCCTAGTTTGCAGCAGTGTCGAGCTGAGTATGGCTGAAGTCGTTCACTTGTGGGGACAGAGAGAGGTTGCCAATGAAGTTTGTGATATTCTCATCTAGATCGTTTGGGGCGACTGCTTCTTGCAGTTGAAGTGCATACTCCAAGTTCCAAAGCACGTCTCCCATGGATGGTCGGTCCACCCCTAATTAATTGGGTTCTTTCCATAAACAACTAACAAAACATAAGTTATCTATGTTAGCTCGAATTCTTGCTATTAAGTATTAACACAAACAAATCAAGCAAAGAACAAATCTGATGCGCCTTCATCAATACAGGATTTCAACAGCTAGCCATAGTCAAATACATACCTTCTTAAGGTTCTGTTTACATATTTTTTCACCAAAACCACCTTGGTTTCATCTTTCTCCCTTTGTTGCATAGAGAAATCTTACTTAGCTTCTTTCGAGTACAACTCAGAATCTGAAAGCTTCGGAATGCAGAGGACTCTTAAATTGAGTTGCCATGTCTTTCTGAAATTGAAGTTCACTGTCAGGAGAAATCAAGGCTGCTGATTTTTTTTAAGAAGATGCATTTGTAAAGAGCATAGGAATAAATAATCATCGAAGGAAATGAATTTAAGGAGCAACGACAAAATTCTACTCCACATAATAAGCTTGTAGCTTGTAAGAAAAGTGTCCTGCCTACAAACCTGCATGATGCTGCGCGGAAAAATCAATTAAACAGTTATACACACACATATATACACACTTATTCGTTCATATGTACCATACAATATGAATTCCAAGGCCAAGTCTCATTTTCATTTACTTTAATTTCCTCACTACGACCATTACAAGACGGGCAAAGAAATCATACTACTTTTCCCTTCTCTAATTAAAAATACAACATCTTCTACTCCTGCTTTAGTAGATAGGCTTAAATCAAGGGTACAAAGAACCAGACTCGATTTCAAAATGTCCTGAGTTTTAGGTTCAAAACCCTAGCATTAAAATTAAAGGAGATAAAGATAAAGGTTACTAGGTGAGATCGAAAACCCACCGGTTGTCGTCTTCGTTCGTCGCTGGGAATCCCGAGAAGGAGATGGCTAACCTACTTAGTCTGTGGGTAGCCAGGGGAAGTCGTGAGGAATCGAAGTCCAAAGGAGCATCGGCCGAGTGGCCATGGTTGTGAGCCTTTCCAAATGGGCGAGTGGTGTGTCCGGCGAGTCCCGCTGGAGTCCAGACTTCCGATTGAAGCAGCCCAGATGATAATCGCGACTCGTGAGCTCACAGCTAGCGGAGGCAAGAAGGTAGGTGTACTGAATTGAACGAGAGAAGGGAGATGCTCATTTAATACGGAGTAGTATAAATGAATTTCAAAAACCTAAAATTAAATAATGAACTACGGAGTATATTGAAGTGTCGCTGTTATACTGCCGATGTAATAGTATGGAATGTTGTTGACGTCTAAATGTCATAAATGCTTTTACGTCGTTATAATGTCACTGAACAAGTGTCACTGTAAGCCCCTTTTTTAGTAGTGCGTGTGTATATATATGTAACTCGCGTGTAGAAATATGTAACTTACGTGTAAAAATATGTAATTTCACATATAAAAATATGTAACTCACATGTAACTCAATGATTTTTTATATACACAATTTTAAGATAAATTGTGATTTACACAATTATTTTTTTTGTATTAAATTTAGTTCGATTTTCCTTATAATCCAATAATCATTTATACAATAGTTCCATAATTTGTTAAAATTACATAAGCAATATTGGTCTCATTTGATAGATCATGAAAAATAAAAAATTTTGATATAAAATTTATAAAAATCGGATATCAAATCAAAAAGTTATTATACTTTTTAACAATAAAAGAAAAAAAATAATGGAATGAAGCTCTGCATCGTTTTGAATGAAGTCGTTTTGAATGAAGCCATGCGTCGTTTTGCAACCGGGCGCACCATCCTCATGGTGCGTCGGTTGCACGGTATAAATTGCCCAATTTTAGTGATCTAAAATAAATCTCGTAATCGAAGTCGAAATTCACAAGGATGTCTTATACTTCGTATATTACTCCCGTACTCCGTACATTTCTTTGGTAGCCTTGTAACTTTAACCAAATGAATGAAGTAATTTAACATTACCTTCACTTTTTATTTACAAGAAATTTAATAATGAAACTTAAAATTGCAACCGCCAATAATTGGGATTTTAATAAAGTAAACTCCATGCATCGTGCCAGTGGAACCTAAAAATCCTGAGACAAAAAAAACAACCCGGCAACCATTTAGAATATGCACAAACTGCAGACTCAAAAAATGTAGTCCCAAAAACTTCCGAAGCTAAAACAATCATAGAAAACCTCCCAATCTGCCCAAAGTCCCAAACCATCCTCTCAATCTCGAAATAAGCCGTCCTAAATTAATTAAATACGAGCATCATAAATGTTGGATAACATTCCACAAATAGAAAGCTTTGTAACAATTGAAATCCCAACAAAATCGCAATATTCATAACCATCAGTTCAACACTTCAACCTCGAGTCCTCGACTGAATATTACCCGGTTAAGGTTCCACACTTCCACAGTTCCACTTTTGGAAGGCCCATCCGAGCCCACATTAATTTTGGAGTATAATTCAATTCATTGTTTAGCGGATAGAGAAATCCCATAAGGGAATTACACAAAAATTTGAAATTTCCCATAAAATTTAGGTTTAAATATGTCGTTAGTCCCTGCAAATATAATACATTTTGTTTTACATCCCTGCAAAATTATTTTTTTGTTTTTCGTCCCTACAATTTAGGTTGGTTTTCTTTTTAGTCCATCATTGATAATAACAACCTCTGACCTCAAAATAACTCTGATTAATAGATCTCCCCTAATTCTTTGTCACGTTATTAAAAAGTATTTAGTTTTATGTTTTAGAAGGTTTTTAATATATGATTTTAAAATGTGAATACTTAGTTTTACACTGTTTTAACTTTCATATTAGCCTCAAAAAAATTATAAAAGGAACTATTTAAATATTTCTAGTAGATTTATGTAACTGACAATAACTTTTTTTGTAAGTAGAGTAGTTTCAGAATCAGAAATGGACTAAAAACAAAACAGTGCATATTGCAGGGATGAAAAACAAGAAAAATATTTTGCAGGAGCTTAAAACAAATTGTGTCATATTTGCAGTTTTGCACGGATTAAAAACATATTTAAGCCTAAAATTTAATAGGTAACATTGCTCAAGATTTAGAGGTCGAAACTTGGTCGTACTGAGCAGCACGTACTACATACAAATGACTTCAAAAACAGTCATGTATACTATTACAAAATACTACGTAATTAAAATAGACTACAATTCTAATTAAGTTTTTCAGTGTAAAAGATGTCAGCTTTTGAAGAAGCTCGAAGGAAGTGTAAAAGCTCCTGTTTGTTTTTTAACTCCGTGTTGGAGCAAAATGTTATTCTTTGAGATATGGAAATCCTCTCAAGCATGGGAAAGCACGCAAGAAGCCACTTGAAGAGTAGCATTTCCGGCAATGACCCTCTAAATGCACAAGAAAGATTCAATGTATGAACATTTTGGCATATCCCGGCCACAATAAACTCTGAATGCTCCAACGCGTTTGTAGTAGTTGGCACAACGTTGTTCTAAAAACATTTATAAAAAATGAGAATGTACATCAATAAAGGGGATAGTGACACCAATAATTTATTTAGGGTATGTTTGGCAAATGTCTTATCAGCCGGCTTTTAGCTGAAAAAATGATGTTTGGTAAATGACTTTTAAAATAAGCTTGTTGAGTTTGAAAAGCTGATAAAATGGATTGTTGAAGAAGTTTCTTCATTCGGCTGGTTCAATTTACACTCTATCAGCCATTTCGAAACAACCAATTTTACCAAACAGTTATCTATAATCAGCTAACATAACCAGCCGGTCAAAACAGCTAACACAACCAGCTGTTAAGAAACAGCTGACACAACCGGCTAACAACAACCGCTAATAGCCATTTGCCAAACATTCCCTTAATTTAATTCAATAACGATTCTCCATGACACCGAAGATTAGCGACTTACAAATAGTTGTATACCAAGTTTATACAGCTTTGGGCAAATTCGCAACAAATTAATGAAGGCAGAAATCTCATCCTCTTCAGCACACAAACGCAGCTTGAGTTGGCCCACATTCAGTGTAGTTCCTTGTTTACCCAATCTAGTTAATTCTTTAATAATATCCTAGAAAAAAATCGAACAAGAGCAAGCTAATTTTCTAGAAGATATAATAAACAAATAGCAATCCAAAAGGAAAGTAGAAGACGTGTGTCTAACATACCTTGGCAGAACAATGGTAGAGATGAAGATAGCAGATCGGTTTCAAGTCCAGGGTAAATGGAAGAACACCATGAAAATTAGCACCAAAAAATTTTAAACTTCTAAGTTTCGGGGCAGTAATGTTGAAATCAGATATATTTTCACAGTCGAGACTCTTGAGCATGGGAAGAGAAGTGGGAGAATGAAGAAGATTTCTGGAATCAAAGAGAACATGTTGAAGACGAAGAGAAGTGACATTGGGAAATATACACGGGGCCTTTATTGGTTCAACAAACACTCCAAAAAGACGCAACTTCTTGAGGGTTGAGCAGGAAAATATGAAATCAGGTAATATGTATGCACATGGGAGAAAAGATAGGTCCAATTCTTCAACCCTATTTCTTGTGAGAAAAAGTAACCATTCATCAAACTCAACCCATCTAGACTTGTTCGCATCTTCTCTTACCAAATAAAACATGCAAAAATGGAAAACAAATTTTCGAATAGGTCCGTTGTGCTTCATAAGAATTTTGTTGATTACAGACATGGCTGATTCTGCAATGAAGGGTCTGATGTGATCGAAAAAATTAGTGTCAAAGATGAGTTGGGAAAGACTTAACCAAACATCTCTCCAAACTGTAGACAAAGCAGAAGTTCTAGCAGCATCTGAGATTGGTAGGAACCCCAAAATATGGTCAAGTAGATCCCCAGGAAGTCCACTGATTCTGTCTTTTTCAGCCATACCCCTGAATACCTAGATATCTTTAAGAGCTGTGAAATGAAGGAAATGAGCACAACCAATTAAAAGCATGAATACAAACATCTTACTTGAAGCCTAGACATACGGACCTCCATTACCAAATCCGATTGCGTACTTATTATTGAATTTCTTCCTAACATGTGAAATGAAAACAAACAAAGCATCAAGGCCCATACCCGTATTGCATACTCTAAATCGCAATCATTTTTCAGACAATGATCAACACGCAAGCTGAACCTACATGCTAATACCGGTAGAACAGAAATAGGGATTTCTACACAGATTTTATTGTCGATCTAATTGGAAGTTGTGGATTTTCGGATGTTGGAAGGCAGACCAATTGACAAAGCTCAGTTGCTCACATCATTATATTTTTTTTTTAAAAAAATTGCTCACATAGTCACACCAGTATATTTCCTCGTTCTTTTTTATTAGTTCTTGTTTCCTTTTTCGGACGTTTTTTATTTATTTGTCCTCCTTTCTCTTTAAAGAAAGTTTTTGAGAAAATATCATCATTTTTATTACTTTTACCCCACTTACTTTTTACAAACTACTTTCTTTTTCCTACTTTACCATCATTTTACTCTTCTTAATACACCATTTTTCCTACTTTATCATCACTTTACTTTTTTTTAATATATCATCTTTCAACTTTATCATTTACCCTACATACTCTATATTTACTCTACTACTTTATTATTAAAACATATGTCAAACCCTAACAGGACAAATAAAAAAGAAAGAAGGGAGTATAGGAAGTACTTTTATAGATCAGCGTGCGCTTACGTAACGTAGCGCATTTGGAATCAGATCTAATTTCCAAGTTTCTTATGCTTAACGCCAAATCTTCCAAAAAAAAAGCTTAACGCCAAATCAGCACGGCAGGCAACAGTTAACCCCTCGCATTATATAGGAAGTACTTTTTAGATTCAATTGGACCAGCCCTTGGTTTTTAGATACGAAAAAAACTGTTGGAAAATAATCGGGTAACAAGAAAATCTTCTCATTTTTTCGTGTGTGACAAAAAAAACTTCTTATTTCTAAAAATTCCTATCACATCCACAATAATTCTTAAAATAATACACCGTTACAATTACTTTTTTGATTTATCCTACATTTCATTACATTATTCCACTATCTTTTCATCATACCCTCAATAATTTATATCCCTTTTCATTATTCTTAATCTACCTACTTTTGAGATGAGAAGATTTTAAAGTTACAGAGGGAGTACGGAGTAATTTTGAAAGTTCCATACTCCCTCCGTATTTGAATGATCTCTACACTAGCTTTGGGCACAATATTTTAGAATAAAATAGTAGGGGTAGTGAATAGTATAGAAAAAGTAGGAGAGAGTGTAAAAGTATGAAAAGAAGATAAAAAGTAGATAAAGTAAGGGTAGTTGAGTACTCCCTCCGTAACTTTAAAATTTTCTCATTTCAAAAGTAGGTAGATTAAGAATAGTGAAAGATGATATGAATTATTGAGGGTGTGATGGGGAAATAGTTGAATAATGTGATGGAATGTAGGATAAATCTAAAAAAGTAGTTGTAATAGTGTATTATTTTAAGAATTATTGAGAGTATGATGGGAAGATTTAGAAATGAGAAGATTTTTTTGTTACGGACGAAAAAAGAAAGTGGGAAGATTTTTAAGTTACGGAGAGAGTATTTAATAAAGGGTAAAATTACCAAAAATGGAAGTGTAGGAAACTTTTAAATATAACCCAAAAAGGAAAATGTATGGAACTTTTAAATACGAAGGGAGTATGATTATTTATGATTAAAGTCAAATTTACACCATCACATTTAATTATTTGGCCGGTATTGGGCCCTCAGGAATGGGTGGCATCCAATGTATGACTATTTGTTGCATTATACGGAGTATTTGTGTAGCTATGCAACATAAGTAGCACTACATTTGTCTCATTTAAATGTTCTCAATTTAGTTTTTTGGACGTGTCATATAAATGTTCTCATTTCTATTTTTGAAAACAATAAACACTCTTAAATAATAGCCGGTATGATGGTATCCACTAATTGCAAGAGTTATCTAAATTTGTATATTATCAATGACCCCATTATCTTATATATGACAGTTATCATCAATAGTTGTCTAAATAATCATGCTATTTTGTGACGGGAACCTTTAAGAGGGATGGGGGTAGTATGTTGTAAATCTTTGATCTACGGCACAATTATAAATTAGAATAATATTCAACCTAGAACAAAGAAAAAGAATGTTGGATTTCTCTATTACTCCCTCCATCTCGCTAAGATTGTCTCATTTTACCTTTTCGGTCCGTCCCACTAAGATTGTTTCATACCAAATTTGGTAAAGTTTGTGTGGCTCTAAAGCATTCTTACTTTATTCTTACTTTATCAATTCAATATGAACCACATACACAACTTTTTATTAATTTGTGTGTCACTCCCTCATGTCCCATTGTTAGAGGGACGGAGGGAGTATATATTCCATAATTTGATGATTTTTTTTATATATTCACATGAATTTAATAAAGAAGATATATGTCCGATATATCGTCGTTTTATTATATTTTTTAGTTGTGTTATACAATTTGAGCATTTGCAAACTTAAAGACAAAAATGTCAATCTCTTGAATCGTTCCAAACATTTAAAATATTTTTTCTTGTATTCTTATCAACACTTCATGTTAATTGGCCGATATGATGGTATCTACTAATTGCAAGAGTTGTCTAATTTTTTTAAGCATTAGTTTGATATTGTACAATATCCTCTTTATCCTTCTTCGTACTCCCTCTGTCCTAAATAAAAGCATTTGTTTCCTTTTTGGGTCGTCCCTAAACAAAAGTCCTCTTTCCTTTTTTGACAAACAAAACAGTTGCAAACAGTATCAAACAGTATTCAAACAATATCTATCAACTCCACTTTCTTAAAATGTGTGGAAAACGAATGGATACCTTTCTATAGGGACGGGGGAGTATATCTTAAACTTAACGTTGGTAAGGTGCCCGGAAGACGGCGATGAACCCAACAGTTAGGGACGAAGGACCCCTGTTTCAATGGACAAGAATTGTACTCTGAGGCGAGCAAGGGGGTCCATTCTTCCTTTCTCTAGACGACATCATAATCGTCAGCATTGAACGCCAATGAATGCATTATAAGAGGGTGTTGTGCGATGAACCAAAGTCAGCAAATAGTGTCACAATATTATTGGCGGAAAGTACATAGGTGGTGTTAATTTGGTTAGGAACCCATCAACCATTTTTTGGCTGATTTGACCACATTTGGCCTTTTGACCATATCAATTAGTTAATAGAAGTGTTTGGTTAAATGCGTTTTCAATTGGCTTTTTATCCAAACAACCAAAATTTCGAATGCCAGAAATTGTAGTGTTTTGCAATGGCTTTTCCGCATCATCCCTATACTACTTATGCCTTTCACCTGTACCCTCTACTTTGCAGAAAGTAAAGAGAGAGAAATCTTCCCCCATCCCATTCCCGACTGTCTGATCGAGCTCTTCTCTTACTCCTCTTCTATGAAGCACAGATACTTCACTAAGGTACCGTATTGAGGTATCGGAAACGTTCCCGTATCCGATACTCTAAGATACCCGTACCGTAAGTTCTCAGGCCGTATCTGCAATTTTTAAAAGTTTCCATTTTTATTTGTAATAATTTTATAATTTCGGATACCCGTATCCAGACGGATACACATATCAACTTTTTTTTATGAAAAAAATCTTCCGAATGTTTAATAAAAAACACCCAAAACTTACATAATAAAATTCATAAAAAAATAAAAAGCTAAATTTTTTTTCCTTGCTTTTATGTAGTACACAACTAATGGGCATATTCCTAATTCAGTCATCATCATATCCCTAATTCTAATTATTCCTAGAAATTAATAACTCCAACAGAAATATGTATTAAAACTTTTAAAATATTGTTTTCTATCTTCATTATTTCAGATCTTTGAGTACTTGCATTGCACTAGTATATACGAGATAAAATAATGATTTAAATCTAAGTATTTGAAAATGTAAAATGCTTCAATCCTTTGAATGGGTAGATGTCAGAGGATAATATATGTGTATTTTAAAAATAAAAATAAAATTTAATGTTTATTAATACACCCATATAACTTTTAATATTTATAAATACACCCCCATAACTTTTGATATTTATAAATATGGCTCTGTATCCGTATCCTACCTTTTTTTATTTTGTCGTATCCTCATACTCGTTTTTGCATTTCCGCGTTTCCGCATACCCGCATCGGTGCTACATAGCTCCTCTTTCATCAGTCATCACAATCCACAAGTTGACGGCAACATTCGTCAAGTGATGAATGACAATTATTGAGATGAGAGATAAATGGGGAAGAAAAATTGTGTGGTTTTCACTTAAGTTCATAATTTAGTACTCTGTAACACTTGGTGCATTTTTTTATTAGTTGTTTGAAATGGAATGTTTAGAAGAATTAATGGCACACATGTTAACTCCAAGGTTCTATTAGACATAAATGTGAGTCAATTTGATTTTGACCGAAAGGTAACCTTCCCCTTTCTCTAATGTCCGTTCAGCTTCTTCTTCACAAAATTGTCCTCTGGACTTAGCTTCTTCATACCTTCTGCGCACGAACCAACACCATGACAGAGAAGTTATCGAGGCACAGAGCAGCGTGTGAGCTTCGCTACCGCCATGGACAAATCCACCGCCTTGAACTCTGCTGCCGCCATGAGCGAAGCGACCGCCTCGAGCTCTGGTGCTGCCATAGATGAAGCCACCTCCTCGAGCTCTGCTGCCGCCATGGACGAAGCCACCGCCTCGAGCTCTGCTGCTGCACATCCGGTCGCTTGCCTCCACTCATATCTTCTTCTCCTTTCTTCAATCGGACGGATCTCTATCATATTTGAAGGATTGTGGCCGCTAGACTTTCAAATATGAAGGTTGAACATGGTTGAGCGGTGGTGAGGCAGTGGTTGGCTAGTAGAACGGGGTGCGGCTGGAAATTGATCGGAGTGGGGTAGGATAATGGCAGGGGTAGGGCTGAGGGTTAGATAATGGTCGTGGAAGGACTGGTGGGTGGGGTAGTGATTGAAGCTGTGGTGTGGGGCCGGTGGTCGCCGGGGGTTGTGGCCGGTGGGGTTAGGCGGTGGTCACTGGATGAAGTGGGGCGGCAATGGTAATTGGGTGGTGCTAACAGTGTCACTATGGCTTGCGGCGGTCACCGGTAGAATAGTGGTGGCTGGCGGCTACAGTGACATGGGTGGCGACTACAGCGACACGGGCGGTGGCTACAGTGACATGGGCGGTGGCTGTAGTGACACGGGCAGTGGCTTCAGTGACACGGGTGGCGGCTACGGTGACGTGCGT